TTCAGCAACATATACATGAAAAACGAATATCTTATCATTTTATGTTAAACAGTTTGATATGATATGAGAGGAAAATATTGTAACCCTTTGGGAAACAGCTCGATACTCAACTCAGCTAAAGTGCTTCTCCCCTCCTCCCACACACACACACATACCCGATCAATATCCCGCACAGCTCGCACCAGACTTTCGAGGTCTCGTAGTCAATTTTAACTAGTTTTCTTACCGGACGGTTCGGGTAGGACGGAAATCTTGGAGATTTAGAATTCATACCACTGGCTTTTATGGCTCGGTCCTCCGGCAAAGAAATTTAAAACCTCAAATTGTCTTGGAAAGGCTATTCATCTGCTGGGGCAACTGATCGCTCGCGAGCCGGTTCATTGGGGACAACCATCTTGCACAGACCGATATTCGCTCTTGAATGATAAAGGTACGTAGCTTTCCAATGTGGTAGTCTCGGGATAGTTGTTTGCTATGTAACAGTTTGTATCAATGATGTAACGGTACAACTTGTACTCGGAACGATGCTCAGAGTGCGTCAATGTGTACTTCGGTACTGATTTTGATTGCGGTCATTCCGATCGTTTTGCTCGAAAGAAGTAAAATTACACAGTCCCATAATCTTATAAGGTATCAAAAATGAAACTTTCAGATTACGTGCTGCGACGGTTTAAGTAAAATTTGATGGCGAGCCACCCATTCCACATACGCACGTAAAGAGGAATGTAATGTCTTTTTTCATTTCGGTCCTGTCTTCAGTGAGTTGCGAACTGTTAAATAATTATTTTACTCCTTCCTTTTACCTTTTCATTTTTCTTTTGTTCGTTCAGTAACTTTAACGTCGAGTCTCTGGTATGAAACGACAACCAGCTGAAGCCGCCGTCCGTATCTGTTGTTTTATGAAGTCGTGACGTAATTTTATTACAATTCTCCTGGGCAATTACCAAAATAGATAACAGTCACGATTACCCCCAGACCTAATCGCTCGTTTATTTGTGTTGATAGCACCAGATGATTGAATATGGTTATCAGAAAGTTAGTTCAACTCCAAAGCCGGGTTATTTAGACAAAGTTTAGTCGTTGTTTAACAAAACTGCTTCCTAAACAATTGTCAAATTAAGCTGAACCGTTTATCTGTACATTAATGTTTGTGAACAGTGTTAATAGGGGCCCAAACATTTCTGTAACTAAATCAACCCTATTAGGAATAATCTGGTTGATCACTTAAATTGTGACTTTTCCCAGTGAAATTAACACATGCCCATGAACAGAGTGCTACTCAAATTGACAAATAGGAAATGGGGCAGTTTAGTTATTATGCTTTTCCAAAGCTGCACCTCATCTGTAAAGAGAACTTTTGAAACAGTCTAGAAGTTCACACCATGCCTGTCAAATATTTCACAAAGTTTGCTAAATATGTGCTCTTCCTTGAAGAAGTAAAATTGTTGACTTGTAGAAATGTATGGATGTCACAGTGAGAATGGGTCTATTTCTATGCAAAAGCTTAATACTCAAATTTAATTTTTAAACAGTGGATATGGTTAAAGGCATGCTTTGATTGGCTACTCAAACTCTGAATATCCTATGCCTAATTCACCTCTGAGCAACACACATAGGATTTGTACCCAAAGGTAATATCATTGAAATTGTTGCAGGTATAAATGAGTTAAGATCATCTTTTTGTGTTGTGTTATTTCACTGTTTCAGTGTATACTAATAAAAATAACTCCTCACTCCTGTTTCACTGAAAATTTGTTTCAGCACAAATAATTGTAAACAATTATTGGATGAGGTTTTTTTTATATCCAGAATAATCAAGGTCGAGTTAGGGGTTATCAACCCTTACTAAGACCTTGATTATTCTGATTATCAAAGAAACCAAATCTGAAAATTTGTTTCATCATACATTGAATAAGGAGAAAAAATGGTCATGAAAGTAAGTGGAACTGATGATTTATTTCTAAACTTGTAAAAATATACAAATCACCAAGCAACACAAAGCATGCGAACTTGACATGATTACCCATAGAAATCATGCACTGCAGTCATATATGACATGACTACCCATGACCTTGAGCATCCTTGACATAATTATTATATCGCCAGGCACTGATTTTGAAAATTCTCTGTAAGCTTTTGGCCAATCAGAAAAGAGATAGTGCATTGAATGTGTAATAACTAAGTTTGATGCATGTACTGTTTCATATGTTAAATGTTCCTTGCATGCCCCATTTAAATTGACATGTCACAATAATACATCACAATAATTACCGTATTTATTTGGCTATAAGCTGAGCGATTTTTGCACAAATTCACGCTAATATTTGGTAAAATGTGATCTATAGAAGAGGGTTCGGCCTATAGCCGAGATTTTTCCTAAATTATTGCATTATTGCAATGTTTGTTGCATAAGAATTTTTAGTTAAAGATGCTTAATCTAGTTGTTCAAACCAGTTTTAGCCAAGCTAACCAGTTCTTGTACTTGTAATTG